AAAAGGGGTGAGAACGACAGCGTGGAGTTTGAAGGGTTTCAATATATGCCGCTCAAAGAACAGCACACATCTAGACAAGCACGAAAAAATGTAACAGTGAACGCGTGATAGGAGGATATAGGAAATGTAAACAGCCCAGCTTAGAAGAGGAGATATCACAACTGTTTTTCACACGTTTGGTCAAAGGATCGGCTTCACTTATCACTTTGACGAGTTGTTGTATGGTGCTAAGAATGGCGAGACCCACTAAGTACGCCGGCGAAACGTCTAGGAATGTACCACGTCCACACTCGAACTTTGGAAATGATCCTCTAGGTTTTACCACCAATATGACCAATTTGCGAAAACAATTTCAAACAACCTCTATCGTAAAACATGTTGTAGTGTTCTGATTTTGTCTTTTACATGAAAGACGAAAACTCAGCATTGGTTTATCTGGGTCGTCGGAGTGAGCCGAGGACTTATTCTCACAAAGCAACAGTTACAGCTTCAAGGCACCCATCCTTCCACTTACGTTGAGACGAACTTACTAAGTGCTGCCACTTGCCTTTTCAAATCAAATGATTGGTACTCCAATATAAATGAGAAAAAAACTCATATACAACCTACTAAAATAATGAATTTTCGCAAATATAGATTGAAATTATTCAGTTTATATGCCCAAAAGTTACATGAGTTTTTTAGCAATGGAAATACGATTGCCTGATCCTAAACTTGTCTTGGTGAGCTAATGAGCCTTTTGTCAGAACTAGAATATGGAATACATGTTGAATAAGCGAATGCTTATAAACAAAAAATGAAATGAAATTTAATCGCATATATTTTATATTATAGGTGGCTTAAAGTCCTTTTAATCTCGTCTATCAAACGAGCTATTTAACTTTATGCCCTTATATCCGTGTCTGTTGATGTAATTGGCCTCCGAATTAGAGTTTTGTAGGCTGATGAATTTGAGTCCCTTCTATCTCATATCCCTTTTGACTATAGGCTTAGCCACCATCTAACGTTTAAGCTAAAATCCTTTAAGAATTGATAGGTTCTAAATAACAAGCATACAACAGTTACACAGTTTATTTCTTAACTTAAGTTTCTTTAAAGCACCTCTAACACAGCTCATAGTTTGACATCATGCATTCACAGCCGAAATGAAAGTCTACAAAACAATTTCAGCTCAAAAGAACAATCGACGTCTGTGTACCTGGAAAGCCTTGGAATATTACCCAAGGCATAGCACATACAAATGATATCTAGATCACTGCTTTAGCTGGATTTTTAACCTGCTAAAAAGGTATAGCATGACTGTAAGCGCAATGTTTCACATCTCTTGCCCAAATGTCCTATTGACAGGATATTAGATATACGATTTTGACCTATTTATCAGACCCTTACTCCTGAAACTGTATAACATGGCGGCTTGATGTAGCTTTGTGCCCCTTATCTCTAGACCCCAAGACAAACGACAATCTTTAATATCATATCCCCAACTCGTCTTTCCCGAATCTATGTAATTTGATTTTATTTATCTTTACCTTGGTCGCACAATTAGCTCCCTACCTATTAGTAAACGCCTTCCCAAATGAAAATATAAATATAAATAGATTATACCCAACTTAATTAACTCTTCATTTCCCCTTATGAGATGTCAAACACAACCGGAATGGAAGATCTTGATCTGAACTTAGTTTACTATTCTTCCAAATAAAAATTAAAGGTTAAAGAAATTCAACATCAGGCTAGGAAGCGTGATTCTCACCTGTTTGTAATAAGAGAGGCAATACTGCATAAGGGCGTTTAAGCCCTGGGATAACTCAACCGGTCGTCCTTGAACTACGGTATTGGGTTGTCCGCAGAAAGAAATGCCAGCCAGCCTTTTCAAAGTGGCAGTTGAAAGACAAGCCTGCCTTCGGAGAAGTCCGGCGTCCACCCAGCCAGCATGACCGACTCTTGGTGAGATTTCAGGACTGTCGGCTCCCTCATCAACAGAAAGGCCAGGTGAACCTTGGTTCTGTCTCTGAAGTTGAGCCCCAGTAACGGAGGATGGGATGACACAATCAGGCGAGCATGAGTTTCCACCACCAGCCGATCCTAAGAGGGGTGCAAAGGCAACAGCTGATGTAGCATCTGAAATAGAGGGAAATGAGTGTGGAGACTCTTGCATATCGGCATCTTCACATATTAGACTACCGTTGGCCGATACAGTTGCTGGAAGGGCGGCCTCATTCGAGGTAATAATAGAAAGGGCTTCTTTGCCAGTTTCCATTGGTTGCGGCAGGATAGTTTCGAGGCCAGAGGCAGATGACAAAGGGCCAAATTGTGGAGATTGGGTGCCAGGCTGCACCTAAAAAATAGATAAGCTAGCCAGTACTATCTTAGATATTCCTAAAATGTACCTATAGTACTTCTTAATAGCTGCGATTGAAGGTGATAGCATAAAAATAAGGTAATAACAAATAAGGATACATTTATATAACAGAGACAGTGTTCAAATAAAGGTATCAAAATTTTTATATTTATTCATCAAGATGGCATCGATTTCAGTATTTTCATAACTTTTCGATAAACCCCATTATGCTATATATATATATATAGTAAAGGTTTTCAAGCGGACTCGAGAAACAATGAAACAATACATTTCGAACAAA